TGCAAACACTCTTTTGCGCGCACACTCACTCGCACACACACACACACACACACTCACTCTCTCTCGTGCACTCTTGCGTACACACACTCACTTTCTCTCGCGCACTCTTGTGCGAACACTCTTGCGTGCACACGCTCTCTCTCTCACACACACACACTCTCACGTGCACACACACACTCACTCTCGTACACTCTTGAGCACACTCTTACACACACACACACACTCTCACGTGCACACTCTCGCTCTCTCACACACACACACTCTTGCGCGAATACTCTTGTGCGCACACTCTCACACACACACACTCTTACACGCACTCTTACCATTACACACACACATTCACTCTCTCCTACGCAAACACTCTTTTGCGCGCACACTCTCACACACACACACACTCACTCTCTCTCGTGCACTCTTGCGTACACACTCACTCACTTTCTCTCGCGCACTCTTGTGCGAACACTCTTGCGTGCTCACTCTTTCTCTCTCACACACACACACACTCTCACGTGCACACACACTCGCTCTCGTACACTCTTGTGCGCATTCTTGAGCACACTCTTACACACACACACACGCGCACACACACACACACACACACACACACACTCTCACTCGCACACTCTCACACACACACTCTTATGCACACGCACACTCTCTCGCACACTCTTGCGCGAACACTCTTGATTGCACACACACACACACACACACACACACACACACACACACTCTCACACACACACACACACTCACGCTTGCGCACACACACACACACACACACACACACACACACACTCTCACATGGACACACACACTCACTCTTTCGCACACTCTTGCGCGCACACCCTCACACACATTCACTCTCTCTTGCGCGAATACTTTTGCGTGCACTCTCTCACACACACACACACACACACTCACACACACACTCACTCACTCACTCACTCACTCACTCACTCACTCTCTCTCGCGCACTCTTGCGTGCACACACACACACACTCACTCTCTCCCATGCACTCTTGCGCGAACACTCTTGTGTGCACACTCACACACACACACTCTCACGTGCACACTCACACACACACACACACACACACTCTCTCGCACACTCTTACACGCACACACACTCTCACACGCACAGTCACACACACACACACACTCACACTTTCACGTCTTTCACACACTCACACGCACACTCTTATGCACACACACACACACACACTCTCTCACGCACTCTTGCGTGCACACTCTTGTGCACACTCACACACAAACACACACACACACACTCTCTCTAGTGCACTTTTGCGTGAACACTCTCGCGTGCACACTCTCTCACACACACACACACTCTTGAGCACACTCTTACACGCACATACACACACACACACTGACCCGCACACTCTCAAACACTCTTACGCACACACAAACACACACTTGCATGCACACTCACACACACACACTCACTCTCTCACGCACTCTTGTGTGCACACTCTTGTGCACACTCACACACACTCTCACGTGCAGAATCTCACACACACTCACTCTCTCTCGCACACTCTTGTGCACACTCTCACACACACACTTACTCTCTCATGCACTCTTGCTTGCACACTCTTGTGCACAGTCTCACACACACACATTCTTATAATCACACACACTCACTCTCTCTTGCACATGCTTGCGTGCACACTCACACACACACACTCACTCTATCTTGCACACTCTTGTGTGCACACTCTTGTGCAAACACACACAAACATACACTCTCTCATGCGCACACTCACACACACACTCACTCTCTCTCGCGCACTCTTGTGCACACTCACACACACTTATGCTCACACACACACTTACACTCTCACACACACACACTCACGCACTCTTGTGTGCACACTCTCACACACACACACACACACACACACACACACACACACACACTCACGTGCACACTCTCACACACACTCTTACGCTCACACACTCACTCTCTCTTGTGCACTCTTGCGTGCACTCTCACACAAACGCTTACTCTCACACACGCTTACGCTAACACACACATACACTCTCTCTCACGCACTCTTGCGCGCACACTCTCGCGCACTCTCACACACACACACACACTCTTTTGCACTCTTGCGTGCACACTCTTGTGCGCTCTCACACACACACACACACTCTTTTGCACTCTTGCGTGCACACTCTTGTGCGCTCTCACACACACACACACACTCACTCTCTCTTGTGCACTCTTGCGTGCACTCTCACACAAACGCTTACTCTCACACACGCTTACGCTAACACACACATACACTCTCTCTCACGCACTCTTGCGCGCACACTCTCGCGCACTCTCACACACACACACACACACACACACACACACACTCTCATGCGCACACTCACACACACACACTCATTCTCTCTCGCGCACTTGCGTGCACTCACACACACTCTTACTCTCACACACACTCACTCTTGCGCACTCTTGCGTGCACACTCTTGTGCACTCTCTCACACACTCTTACGCTCACACACACTTAAGCTCACACACACACACACTCACTCTCTTGCGTGCACACTCACACACACACACTCACTCTCTTGCGTGCACACTCACACACACACACTCACTCTCTTGCGTGCACACTCACACACACACACTCACTCTCTTGCGTGCACACTCACACACACACACTCACTCTCTTGCGTGCACACTCACACACACACACTCACTCTCTTGCGTGCACACTCACACACACACACTCACTCTCTTGCGTGCACACTCACACACACACACTCACTCTCTTGCGTGCACACTCACACACACACACTCACTCTCTTGCGTGCACACTCACACACACACACTCACTCTCTTGCGTGCACACTCACACACACACACTCACTCTCTTGCGTGCACACTCACACACACACACTCACTCTCTTGCGTGCACACTCACACACACACACTCACTCTCTTGCGTGCACACTCACACACACACACTCACTCTCTTGCGTGCACACTCACACACACACACTCACTCACTCTCACACACACAACACAGTCTCACGCGCACACTCACACACACACTCATTCTCTCTCGCGCACTTGCGTGCACACTCACACACATTCTTACTCTCACACACACTCACTTTCTCTTGCGCACTCTTGCGTGCACACTCTTGTGCACTCTCACACACGCTCACACACACTCTTACGCTCACACACACTTAAGCTCACACACACACACACACACACACAAACACACTCACTCTCTCTTGCGTGCATACTCTCACACACACTCACTCACTCTCACACACTCTTACGCCCTTACACACACACACACACTCTTTTGCACTCTTGCGTGCACACTCTTGTGCACACTCTCACACACACACACACACACACACACACTCACTCTCACACACACACTCTCATGCAC